TCTCTCTCTCTCTCTCTCTCTCTCTCTCTCTCTCTCTCTCTCTCTCTCTCGCGCGCGCTCTCTCTCTGAAGGAGAATTTACTTAGGAAGAACCACAAATAATATGGTCGAGCCGTGCTCTGCGGTCCGGACCCTCGATACTATCCACCCTCAATGTCGCTTAAGCCCGCAGAGACACCAGGGTAGCATGCCAACGGTTCAGGGCCTCCAGAAGTCAAAGGGGGGCGCGACGCGGGGGGATTCCCCCAAAGTGAAACAATGCAGAACGTGGGAAACTTCCGGGGCGGCGCAACAAATCCGTCCCTCGTTCCAACGAAACTTGCCTCTGGTGCATCATCATCTCTCTTGGTGAAAGTCGTGGTATAGGATAGGTTTGTACTGCCGTGATTTAGAGTTTCATGCAACTTTCGTCGCCACGTTCGGAATCCCACACACTTCGGCGGCCCGAAAGACGGCATGCGTAACGTACCGCAGCTCGGCCGCCGTCAGAAGTTCCGACTCGCACCAAGCAATTGTCCACACCCGGGGGGTTTCCCCCGACGCCATCGATGGCGGCGCCGAGCGACGCCCCCTGGGTGAAATCGAAGGGTGTTCCAAGAACCGGCATGATCTCTCCGGTCGGAACTCGAACCTACAGCATGATGAGGGACAAGGGGGGCCAGTGGAGGGGATTGTAAGGGGGACGCAAGCACCTTGGGGGTTCGTTCCACGGGTGGAAACACGAAATTATATATAGTCCAGAACCCCGGACAGCAGGTACGAAAAAAAAATCGGCATGTTTCCGGGGTGCTCCATGTACGTGCGATGAGGCGTTCGAGCGACAAACAGGCATATTGCTCCTTCTCGCAACGCCTGCCAGATAAGACACCTGAGTGCGCAAGCACGACCAAGCGGGGCACCACCGCCATCTGTCGTGGTGATATGGTTAGTGTTGACAGCCGGGCGTCGGCGGGCCTGCGCTGCCTACGTTGGCCGTGATGGCCCTGCTACTGCACTTTCCCGAGATGTTCGTCACGACTTGCGTTCGTTGAGCCTGAGGCGTGGGGTCATTCTCGTGGCGTCCACGATCCGGCGTCGATTTCACCCGATCGGAATGATCGTATTTTTCGCGCCTCCTTACCATGGCCCCCAGAGCTTCGCTTTTCGTCTAATTACTCGGCGATAACAGCAAGTCATTTCGACCACGACGTGCTCCACTAACGAGCTCCCATCCTACCGCTACAATGCGAACCTGAGCGACGATTCAGATAGCGAAACACCACCACCAGGGAAAACAGGAACAGCGATGGCAACGACTACGACGACAAGGACGATGACGACGACGACGACGACCAAAAGAACAGGAACAACAAGCACAAGAACAAGAACGACCAGAACAAGTTCCATCTACATGCATACGCGGAGAAGCACGTCACACCACTGCTCGTGTACCTTCCGGGACTCGTAACGACGGGAAGCAGAGAAACGGAGCGCCCACGCCCCGGACTTCTGGATCACGGGGCAAGACAACGATGCCCAAAACGTAACGGCACTGGTACACATTTCTTCCATCACCCGACCACGTGCCGCGCATGCTTGCCGGCCCAGTCTTCCTCTTCAACCTCAGTCTCAAGGTTCATTCCACGAAGTACATGCACAAATCAATCTCACCGGCTGTTCGTCGAGGGGCAGGTACCGGTCACAGCGCATCATTAACTCGTGGTCCCGAACCGAACGCTTCCGATCCCCACTCAGATTCCAGTAGGCGCTATTTCGACATGTTGGAACCAGAAGCGAGCAGAGACGGGGGGGCGGCGACCGCGGCGGGCGGCGGAGTCCAAGATAAAAGCTCAGCCAGAACGTTCCAAACGATGGTAGGGGAGTCGGCGCCATGAAACGGAGTTAGGCTGGAGACGGCGAGGCACGGCGGTGTTGCCGTTGCAGTGCTCACGAACGGTGTGTCAGCGGCGCCAATATCTGGCAAAGCTTTGCCCTGCAGTGGGGCCTTGAACAGGTTGGGTTGAGGGATTTTTTGTTGTTCTCAATCGCTTGCGGCATCCAAATCTTGTCAAAAGCAGGGGGAGGAGGTGGTCGAGAGGCTCAACTGATTTTTCAGGTTTGCAGGGGTAGGGACTCTTGGGGTTGTTGTTTCTCCATCTCTTCCGGTGTGAAAAAAGCGACGAAGCCAACCGTAGGGGGGGAAGGGTTCCAGAGACTCAACTGGTTTGTCAGGTTCACAGGGGTCGGGCCTCTGTTCTTCTCTTTCCCACCGTCGTCGTCGGTAACGTACTCCGCCTCCATTGCTGTGTGCAGCTCCCCGGTCCCACGCTCTGACCCCCGCTTGACGGAGTAGGTCACCTGTCACACAAAGGCACGTTCCGGGCGCGATCCGGAAGAGTCGACATGGGACTTGCTCACCACCGTAGATGTACCATTGATCAACGTCGCGATAAAAGTGTATCTGAAAATGCAGGTTTGTTTGAACAGCAGCGGGCAACGCCAGGAGGTAAAGGGTGACAACCAGAGACGTTGTTTCTTTCGCCCAGCGAGTTAAGACCCCCGGAATACAATCACGAGCCTACCTCCAAAACCATCACGGCATCAAAGTCGTGGAGCGACTCCTGGAGTCGAACGAATCGCTCCTGAGACCGAGGGTGTCATAGCCTGACATTAGTGCAGGTAGTGAAAAACAGCAGTAGAGCAGCAGTCGCCCCTACATCGAGAAGTGAAAGGCTCACCCAACGGACAGCCCGAAACCCCCATCCGCGTTTTAGGACTCCAAAAAACGCAGACCATTTTCGTGATGTACGAAAGCCCACTCTGCTGCTGTTGTTCGTCTTCTTCTTCTTGTTCTTCCAAGGTTAGAAGCAACTCGTGACTGCGCACTGACTGACCTTTGTAGCAAGCGCGCCCGGAAAGCCCCCTTCCCCGTCCGGGCTGTCGTACTCGAACCTAACGCCGATGCCGTCCGAGGTGTGGAAAACTTCGTGTCGCCAGACCGCCTGCATGACGGCGCAGGACAATCAACCTCAGGGGACAAGCAACGTCATAACTTCTTGTGGGAAGTGAATGAAAAAAAGCAGAGCCAAACTTTCGGACGCTGAGGGATTTGAACCTACGGTAGCCACCAATCCTTCAACTTTCAAAACTGGTGCAATGACCTCGATATCGTGGGGATTGATGGGAGCTTGTCGCTGCCAAACACACCTGCACGCATAGCCAAAGGGCGGCGGGGGGGGAGGTTTACTTGCTGAAGAGAACCAGGGAGGTACCCTCCAAGAGTGGAATAGCTCTTTCAGTTGGGCTGGTCCACCTTGGTTATCCGGTTTAGTTGGTCGGGAGGTCCATGGCCAAGCCGTGCCGGGGCCGTGCCTGGTGCCAGGTTCACGTCAACGTTCTCGCGGTGCCTGGCCGGGTGGACCGAGAACAAGTCTCCCAACACCGCGCGAGCTCGCTCACCGAGGAAGAAAAAATGAAACAAACTCAGGAAAAGCGGCATATGTGTTTCATTCACACACGAGAGCAACAAACGCACACACGGCGACAGAAGACGTCTGCGCGATCGATGAGCAACGCCAACAAATGCTCCTTGAGGTGCGTTCCCACTGTAGGATGCGGAAGGTCTTACCGGCGCGGCGTACCAGACGATTAACCCCCCCCCCGGTAAAGTGGTTAGGATGTTCCTGTTCGACAGCAACCTACTCGTGAACGGGGGGTACGCGCGATGCAAATCTGCACACCTTGTCGAATCCTTTGGCGCCGCCGTGCAGGCAGTGGGGTCCGTTGTTGGCGTCCACCGAAATCACCTCGCCATCCACTGCGAAAATCCGGAAGAAAATCAAGGCACGCGCGCGAGGGGGT